TGCTCCTTCCTGCCCATGGCAGGGGTCAAACTAGATGATCTGTCTAGGTCCCTTCCGACTCGTTGATTCTATGATTCTATGAAGCATAGCTCCCTTTCTTTTTGACTTTTCAAATCCTGTTAAGAGAATTAATGTAGCCTGCTTGGTATATCTGAACACTGTCCCCAAGTGCCGTCCAAAAATGAATCATCATTCCTGTACATATATTTCCCTGGTACATTTTTCCCCTGCCCCTTGTAATGGTTATCATTAATTTAATTAAAATAAGAAAAATAGTAAGTCAGAGTGAGCAACCAGATTTTTTTTGTGTGAGCTTGAAGTATCTTGGGGCTTGTCTACAGTAAAGCACAGCTGGCAGAAGAGATTTGTAGGCAACAATGCAGAATTTGGTTCATGCTTTTACCACTTTCTGTGTACTGGTTCAGGCCTAAAAATCAGATGCAAGCTTCAGTAGGGTAGCTTTAACCAGTATTCAAGAAATATCTCCCTTGCCCATCTCCAGGCGTATGGTTCTGCTTGCTGATCACTATGCATGAAATTTCTGCTGACAGTCACTCAGTGACCAGTTATGAGTAGGGGTCTACCTGAGTCACGGCAGAAGGGGGTGCAGGAACGGGGACTTAACAGTTTTTATGGGTTGATCATGACGTGATGTTCTGATTCTGCAGTCACTTCATGGTGGCCCTGCCCCTTGGCACTGATTGGCAGAGAGGCCCTGGCAGGGGGGAGAGGGACCAGAGGGCAGCTATCATCTTGTGTGTTGCCCTGCATGCTGCCCCACCAGCCAGCCTTTCCCTCCCAACAGTGAGGACCAGTGGCTCCAGCTGGGGAGCAAGCTTTTTTTTTTTTTTTTGATTTTGCAGACAATCCCAGATGTTGCTGTTTCTGCAAAACTGCAAATTTAGTAGGTTCCTAGTTATGAGGTGTCCACATGACGCAACTACATTTCATCCATGCAAATATGGAAGCCTGATGCAGGGATTTCTTCTTGGCAAAAGGGCTGAGAGGGGGTTGAGGAAGCCTTACCTCCCTCTTCCACAATCTGCAGTGGATATAATGAGGACTCAAAGGTGGCTAGAAATGTGGCTCGAACAGGTACAGCTGTGTATAAAAATCTGATTTACTTTTCTTTTAAAGGCTGAGTTACCACAAGTTAACTTTAATGTGCTGCAGGGTAAAAGCATGCACACAGGCGTGCAGAGCAGCAGACTTGCTGTAGAATCTTGCTTTTCTTTACCCCACAGTAGCATCAGTTCTTCTTGTGAATCAGTTTCTCTCCAATTTTGACTAGAAATTCTATTCTGGAGCTCAGAAAGCTTATTCCAACAAAACCTCATCAAAACTAGTATAGTCTTGTGAAAAATCATTTAGTCTGAAAATTCTCACCTAACTCTACTCTGGAAGAAATCCTGGCTCAGAATATGTAAACCTGGACTCAAAAGCTCATAGGCTGCAGAAAAAGCAATTGAATCTGAGCTCTATAAAACTGGCAAGATTAGATGAGAATTAAATGTGAATTCCTAAATACCAGATTTACACTTACTGCTCTTTTCTCCTAGCATATATACATGCCATGAGGTAGGAACAACCTGGTCCTCCACCAGGTATTCATTTTGTGTTTGGATGGACAGCTGTATCAGTCGCACCATTTGTTTGGGAGCACATAAAATGGGTGAATTTATAATAATCATCACTTGTTGTGAACAACTGTTTTTTTCTAAATAGGACCAGAGAACATATCCAAATATGGTTAGGTTAGCTGTGCCCAACCTTTTGGCCCTGTAGGCCGGATGAGTGGCACAGGACCAGATGAAACCCCATGCTCCAGGATGGGCCTACGCACCCAGATTGGCTCTCTTGTGTCCAGATTGCATCTTGGGGTCCTTCACTGCTCTCGCCTGTCTCCACGCACCGGGTTCGGGCCCTGCACTGCCCTGTTTGTCCAGTCTAGCACACAAGGCCTTAGCCCATGGGGCTTCTCTGGGCCAGGTGACATGGCATCAGGGTTAGGTGAATGTGACAGTAAATGTTGAAGGCAGAAACAGGATAACATATTCCTTACTTGGGCTATAGTCTGTATAATTTTTGAAACAACATATTCAGAGCCCTTATTTTTGTGGTAGACTGTTGCAGTCAACTGTTGTCTGTATAAACTCTGTGAGCTTCTGCTCATAAGAAATATTGGCTGAGTGTTGCCAAACATGAAGAGGCCATTCTCCCAGCTCAAATTGCTAGAGCTTAGGGGATAACAACACTAAGTACAGGCATTCCTTAAATGTTCAGTTGTACGCAACTTTCTTCTCCGTTTTTTGCCTTTTTAATTATACTTACCTGTCTTTTACTAAATTTGCCCCAGTCTTTACATAAGAAGTGATTGAATGTTCTATGGTGCAGTCTAGAGTCAAAGAATTTCTTAAACCTTATTACAGTTTTTTCAGCCAAATGTACATAGGGCCACACCATTTAATGTTATAATTTGACTTCTCCACAACCCAGCTTGTCTTTTTTTTTCTCCCCTCTTCCCACCTCCCAGGCTCTTCCTTGGGAAGAGACTTGCATATTATTTTTGTATGGGCAGTCTTTCATATTGTAATATATTTTCATTTATGGGGTGTGACTTCATAAAAGAATACTCTTCAATTTTAGTGGCTATGATAGTCATATGGTAGGTGGCTATTTTGTAAAATTGGGCAGTTTATCATTACTCCAAATCTGCAGCTTTGTTTTGATTAATAAAAAAATGAACAAGTACTTTAAAGGTAGGTGGCTGCAAACCAGTGTTGGCAAGAAAGAAGAGCCCTTAAAAGCTTAATTTGGGTTACAAGCTTTCAGGCAGTGCATGTCATGCTGGTGGGGGAGGAACTTTTCAAAGAGCAACTTATATTTGTGTATCAGGGAATTTCTATAGCTTTGATTGTTAACATCTTTGAAAGTTGGCCTTGTCTCTGTTGTATAAAGTTGGCCTGGTGGCTTAGCTAAAAATGAAAGGCCCCCTTCTCCCTCAGTTCAGGTAGTGTTGAACTAGTTCTGAAATCTGAGAACGAAATCAAATTAATTCAGTTGGTTTCCAGCTTCCTGGCTGTTGGAAGGGAAAGGAGGGAGACTTCTTTTTTTTTTTTTGCTCTTGTGTCTGAAGGAAGCTGAGGCTGTGTAGAAAAAACGTATTCCCACAGACTGGAGGTCTCAAACAAAGCCATTTCCGTTTGCAAGGAGGCTGCTGGATTGCAAAGCAATGCTCAGACCGTTGCCTTCAGGCATTGTGAGGCTAAGCACGTACGCTTACATCACTATAGTTTGAACCTGTATTTGTAGAGACTGTATAAAAAAAGGCTGAAGCTAAGCAGGAAATGAAGATTTCCCCTTGTACTCTTGCAGAAATTGATGTGAAAGGGAGGGTTAGGGAACATTGCAATTGTTTTACATTTGTGATCCTAAACCCTCAATGATAAGACAGGAAACCTGAGTCTCACAATTCCATAGTTTTGACGTTTTTAGTTTTATTGCATTTGGCATATTAATACTCTGGATGCTTCTGTTCTAGATTTACCAAGGATGAATCATTATTACAGTTAGTATTTTGTGAGTCTCTGTGATGAACATCAGGCTGTGGGGTAGATAACTTTGATTCTTCTGTTTGATTTTACGATTTCTAATTGTTTCAGGCTTAGAGGAACAACAAATATGAAGAACATGACTTAACCTCAGTTAAAGGAGAAGTATATTTGATGCATGTAATGTGCCTTTGGATCTTAAAGGATAGGCTGGTTGTTTTAGTTCTTAACTGGATTTTAATCAGCTAAATCTAAACTGGCTGACATTCACTAGGGTGGCATTAAGCTCTTTACCCTTGTTTAGCTGCCAAAAGCCAAATCAATAGTAATTTTAAAACAGTCACTTAAACATCTTTTTCATAACTTCCTGTGGCAGACCCTATTCACTCTTTTCAACAACTCTTTATACAATTTTGTTAAATAAAAAGTTGCATCTAACATTGCTACTGAGTTCCCTGTAGGAACAGTAAAGGGAAGGGTATGTAGGATGACCACCTAAAGAATGTGGAATTTTACTGTTACAGCTCATTCAAAAAGAACTTTTCCTTCAGCTGTTCAGTGATGAAAGTGTTCCAGCAAACTAATTTTTCATCAGGAATTAGTAACTAGTTTGTGTAATCTTTTGACTCCTCATTCATTTATCTTTCTCTAATGAAAATAAAATTCTTAAGAAGAGAAAATATCTGTGGTCAGTGATCAGTCTTTTTCTCTGATTGGTAATACAGTAGAAAAAAGAGAAAAATCTAGTCTTCCCATTCCTTGATAAAACAGGTTAACCGCCATAATATTTTATGATTCCAAAAAGCCCAGAAGTAGGATTTATGTGGTGAAGCATAATACATTTTATTGAGCCAGTTTTATGGTTTGGAGAGATGTTGGACAAGATTTTGGGCAGAGAACATCCTTCCTCGGAGCACTGAAAGCTTATCGTATCTCTCAGCTATTAAGTTGAACCAATGAAACATATTACCTGATCTCACAAGTCTTGCTTCTCAAATTCTCCATATCATGACAACTGCAAGAAAAACCCTACAATGCTACTAAAAGAGACCAGAAATATTTAACTATATTTTGTTCCTGCTGGCATATGTTCAACTCTCCCAAAATGTTCCTTTCTTGGTAGAACATAAACATTCAGAAGTGGGCATGCATCTGTAGTGAATGGCAAGACAGAAGATGCTCCATAGGTGATCATCTGACAGGAAAAGATGGCTCTTTTATGCCATCTTTCTCGCACTCAGCAGTGTTAGATTTTGAATTCATACCATTCCAGAATTGGAAGAGAGGGCTATTTGGAAACACAGGAAACAGAGTGGTTTCAACTAGGAGCAAAAAACATGAGTGATTTGTTTTTTATCATTGTTTCTTTCCCAGTTGCTTTGTAGCTTGTCACTGAATAATGCTTTAGAATTTAACCTTTTGCATATATAAACTTTGTTCCCTTTCAAGAACATTGACATCACAAACTTCAGCAGCAGTTGGAACGATGGTTTGGCCTTCTGTGCAGTCCTCCATACTTACCTCCCGGCTCATATTCCCTATCAAGAGCTGAACAGCCAGGACAAGGTACAGTATTGGAAAGTCCTGTTTAGACTGGCTGAAAGTACAGACCACTTAGAATGCATCATAGCATCTCTGTGAGAGTTCATAGAGGTGGATGAGCTGACACAAGGAAGGTGGCTGGTGTTTGGGTTACTGGGGCCTCTGGCAGACATTATTTTTATCGAGCAAACAAGTAACTTGCTTCATGGGACTTCCTTCTGTATCCAGCGTGGGGGAAAGCACCCTGAAAACTTGCTCTGCCAGTACTTGCCAGCAAGGGAAACTAGAGAGCTGATGACAGGGGCTGTCATCCCTACCTGCCCCCCCTTCAGCTGTGCTGCTAATAAGAAGTGAACTCACTTCACCAGCTGCATGAAGGAGGTACTCCCCTGACCCTTGCACAGGCCCATGCAAAGGGCAAGGGAGAGTGAGAGCAGTGCGGCTCTCAAACACTTTGAGATGCTTTTGGGTATGTGCTTTTCCTCTCTTCTCAACACAAAACTATTAGTCCAGCTAAGTGTGTCATGTTGAAAGTTTGTTTACATTCTGGTTCTCATAGGGAAGAAGAAGCACCAAGTGGCTCTTTAAAGAAAGAGCCAGGAAAAATGGTTGGAGAATGGGAGAGTGGGCAGTAAGTCAGGACATTTCCTTATGGATGCAGATAGTAGTGACACTTTTTGTGTGATCTGGCTTTGAAAGAGATCTACAGCCATGACCTAACATGTGCACAGGTGCAGAGTGCTTTTAAAATGGCTGATCATGCAAGAAATTAACCCATGCAAGCACCAGCTGAGCTCCACACTTGCCGCTGTCATCAGAGAGGGAGGGAATCAGCAGCAGCTGTCGGGCTGCTATGCCCGGCCTACGCTGGAGGGGGGCGTGTAACAGAGCTTCTCGCCTTGCAGCCCTCACCAGTTACCCCTGCTGGGGTATTGAGGGGAGCCAGGCTAGGCCCCCGAGTCAGGCAAATATTCTCCAGTCCCAGCCTGGTCGTGTCATGTTCAGAAAAAAAGGTTTTTGGGGTTTTTTTGCCTCCTCTGTAATTAAATAGTTTTAAAAAAAGTTTAAGTATCATTTAAGGAAACAAGTAATCCCTTGTTGTAATTAGAACCTATTAAGACCATACTCCAGAGTTGCATTGAAACATCCTAACAAATACAAAATGGCTTTCCTGAATATATGCCAAGAGATCACTTATACTTTTTCAATTTTTGTGAAGAAATAGTTGTCACCTTTTGAATAAGTCCTGTAGTTCTTATTTTCTCACCATTGGGTATATTTAAATGATTTTATTATTTCATAATAACTTTTATTATATATCCCTTTTTGGTCTGTGGAAGATATTCTCTTACATTCCCTCTTTCATCCAAGATTTAGTGCTGCAGTTTTTTTGACCTCATATTATTCTGAAAAACACATTTTTACTTGAAATTAAATTGAATTGTTTGTCTCTTGTTCATATGACTATTAAAATTTTATCTTTTTTGTTGTATAATGATGAGGCTGACAAAAACAAAGTGAATATCTCCAGTAAAGTTTAATTTTGGACCCTGGCTTTAAAATCAGCTTTACATAATATTTTACTAAATGGAGGGAATATTATGGGAATACCTAGGAAAGATGAATAATTGCATACTTTCTTCCTGAATGCTAATTCCACCCTCTGTAAAACTGGCTGTTATTTAATCAACAGAACCCCTTACTGCGAATTCATTTTGTCCCACACTTTTATCAAACAACATAAAAGTGTGTGTGTGTAATATTGAAGTATGCAGCTTATGAAATTTTGCAGTTTAGAACCTTATAAATATGGAATTTCCTGAGCTCTGCTTAGTAGTCTCTTTTTTAATAAATGTTGTCAAATAAAGAGAAAAAAGCATTATGCCTTGTAATTGCTTCTTTCTTACCCATCCTGATATAAAACCATCCCCCTCCAAAACTAGGAAAAACCTTTTTTTATCTGATGGGGTTTTTCCCTTTTGATATGTGACAAAATTTTCAGTTATCACTTGATTTAGCTGTCATCTTCAGAATTCTTTATCCTCGAGTCAGGAGGGTGGTAAATATTTCCGAAAGACTCCTATGTCTGTGATACAGAATGACTTCTATGGCACAAGTCTGGATGGTATCTAATATTATGCTTTAACTGAAGTTAATTAAGGATTTTATTAGAAGTGTTTTCAAGCAAGAAGCCTACTAAACTTTCAAAAGGTTTTTCTTTATTCTTGACTAACATATTTTTATATCACATTTACAGAGGCGGAATTTCACTCTGGCTTTTCAAGCTGCTGAAAGTGTTGGTATCAAATCCACTCTGGTAAGCGTTAGGTGCACACTAAGCAGATCATGTGGTGTTCATAAAATATCTTTTAAACTTTACATTTGGAACCTATGTAACACACAGATTTTCATGTTTTAGACCCAAGATGCAATAGGCTGATCTGACAGTTGTAATCATATATGAAGGGTTATGTGGGCATTACTGGTGTCTTCTGGGTTTTTTGGTCATTTCTTGCTTTCTTCTTAACAGAACGGGTGTGACACCAACTACAGCATAGAAAGAAAATATTTCTATTCAAAGCAATACAGTGAAGCTAAAGAAGGGGGACAGGTTAATCTCTTGCAGGTATTCTGTCTGTTAGATGTGGAAGGTCTGCAGATACCAAACATTTCTTACTCAGCATATTGTGAATCTGTGCCTTGAAGAATAAAAACAAACTACATTCTAGATTTGACATTACATTTTAAATGTGTTAGATTTCTTAAACGTTCAGCTCAGACCCATGAAAACTCATCTGCTTCTCAGTGCAATGTGAAGGTTATAATTTATGTGAAACGTCAGTTGCTGGACCAATTTGTTGGTCCAACATATTGTTGGTATTAAGGCAGTCTTTATCCTCATAATCCACCACAGGAAACACAATAGAAAATTTGAAACAAGGTCCATATTGAAGAAAAGCAAATTAAGATTTTACCTCTTAATTTAACATTGTTTCTCTTAATAGTTAACAGCTAAGAGCCTTTGGATCCTCTATAAGAAGAAATTTACAGACAGTTCTGGAAAGAATTATTAATTGTCATTATAAAAGCATTTATCAGAAAAAGGAAAACTTTTATTTGAAAACATGGGGCTAAGAAACCCAAGCCTGAGTGAATTACTCCAGCAATCCAGTTAGAATGCCAGTGTTAGAATTGGAATTTACCTGATTTTTTACCTTACGACTTATGTAAATTGAATTCTAGCAAAGCTTTATAGACCTGGCAGCTGATAATGCAGAATAGTTCAACACGTAAAAATAACGCTTCCCGTGATCCTTATCAAAGCTTCTGTGAAGCCATTGTATTTGATCACAATGGAAATGACTGAGTCACTTTGTATAAGATAGTGATCTTTGAAACACGAAGTTTCTTACCAAATGCTGATGTAAGACCTAAACTATTAGAGGTCTAAACTATTAGAGTAACTGCAGTAATACGTATATGGAATTAGCTGCAGTAAAAATCTCTCTTCTCTGTCTTGTAATGTTACAGGGCATAAGGGTTCTAGAACTAGGATTATGCAGGATGCATAGAACTTGTTAAATTAAAAATAGTCTTAAAGTGTAATCACTATACCTACAGACACATTTATAAAATCAGATTAATTAAATCACCTGTATGGAAATCTAACCTGTGTTTTATAAGATAAATTGTTTACCAGTATGTGCAGCACATTGTGGTGTGTGCCCACGCTTTTTTGTTGGAAAACAGTCATTACGTATATAAAGATTAGCAATAGTAATACTAGAGGGAGTTATTTCATTTCTGCTTGTTAACGAAGGTGTTTATTCACAGCTCCTTTCACAGTAAATGCCAACAGATCAACTGGTTCTGTTTAAACTCTCCTGAGGATTATGGGTGAGGTTTAAGAAATAAACTTGAGAAATGGTAGGAAGGGTTTAAAAACTATTATTCCTTTTTTCTTTCGTCCGTTAGGTTGTTGTCTATTTAACTTGTAGATCAAGAAACTTTCCTTCTATTTACTACTTAATCTATTTTTCACATCTATATGGAATAGTTATTAGATCAGTTCATAACTTTTTATGCAAGAACTGACTGCTCATGTTTTATAGTCCCTCCTGGGTATATTTGATTTGGTAATAAATTGCCAACTTTTTTCCTAGTTCAAAATCCACATTGAGCTCATTAATGTACTGCAAAGTGAGATTTGACAAGAAAAGTGTAAAGACCAAATGTCAAATCTGGTTAGTTATTTCCCATCCTTTGTACAGTTAAATTTGTTACTATTCAAGGCTGTTACCCTCCAGGTGATAATGCATGTGTGGATACACAAGCCAATTTATGTTCTGTCAGCTGAAGGTTGGGGTTCTTGTTTGTAAAAACAGTAGTTTTGACTGGGAGTAGTAATGCTAAATGAGAAAAAAGCTGAGATTGGTTCTGATGCTGAACTCTGATACTTCCTGTCATAATTAATGTTGCTTTTCTTTAACATGATAACCATCAACAGATGGCCCAAGAAATTTAAAGTTGTGAAATGCCTTTTACCATCCAGTCTTTGCAAATAAAGCACTGAATAAAATTGAAAGCTCATTCCTTTAGACTTTTTCGTTGTGGGAGTTTTATGCCTGGATGAGCAGAAAAGTAGCAGGAATTTGCAAGGTGGAAATATTTAATGTTGGCATATCTTTTTTTCTGTGATAGGACATCAATGAAATGGTGCGAACTGAGCGTCCTGACTGGCAGAATGTCATGATGTATGTTACAGCAATTTACAAATACTTTGAAACCTGAAACCCTGGTAATTCAAGAGATTTTCAGAGTGGAGCCAACTCTAGCTACCAGATGGAAACCTGACTGAAATGCTAATCCCGGTTTCATTGAAAACTGGCAACATTCACATCTCTCTAACTTCAGTGACACTGTCAAAGCTTGTCTCAAACTGCTTCAGCCAGTAAAGCTTGGATAACAGCTAGAAGAAAGAAATCACTACCATAGTGCTTGGAATATCCCAAGTTATTAAAGTATCCAAAATAATCATGTAGCCTAGTAAGTCTGGACTTTAAAGAACTGCCTTTTCACCAGACATCCTGAAGCTTTCATACTTAAGAGACTGCAGTAAGTGAATGCTGTAGCATATAGAAGACTGAATGTAAAGCTAAAATATGAGAAGGAAAAGATGACAGAGCATCATAATAACAATTTCTCTACGATATTAGATACCACAGAGTCTGGGTGAATATTTTACCCATGCTCACTGCACCCCAGACAGTAAAATTCTTAAAAATAATTCAGTTACTGCCTTTATAACTCTTTTTCCTCCTCTAAAATATGCACAATATTCTAGGAAAATAAGCTTTTATTCCATCGGGCTTACTTGACTGGAGAGTACTGTTACCATCTTGACAAATCTGGCACAGAAGGATTCTTCAGTAAATAACTCTGTTCTAAGCCTACCTCTGTCACACAGTAATGTGGCTTCCAACTTTATCTAATGGATTATGAGGACTAGCACATACAGCTCCTTGTGTTCAGGGTATACTGTACTTGGATGAATCCATATTTCATATAATTTTTGTGCTTCCACTCTAACTAGTGAGATTAATCCAGAATTTATCCTTGTACAGCTCGTCCTTTTCTTCTTCTTTTGTCTGTATAGCACACAGAAATCCTATGGTTTTTCTTTTACAACAATACAAGCATAAGATGTCACTGACTTCTTACCATGCCATCGGAATGGGAGTCTCCTCAGCAAAGAGATTTTTTCAGGAAGAAGCAGTAATGGGACAGTTTTTCTCAGTCTTCCTTTGAATATTGCATGTATGCTTTTTCTGTCATCTTGCACATTGTGGTCTGACTCAAAGACGACATGAAAAGAAAAGAACTGCAGAGGGATTATTGTTTATGTAAACTATTCTGATTTAGAATATTGTATCCCAAAGCTCATGCTTGTGAGGAAAAATTGTAAAGTTTTGTTCTTCTCAGATTCTGTTCTCCCACAAATTCATGTGACAAAACTCTCTGGGCAAAAGAATTCAAGCAAGTGCCTTAACTGTCCTTGAGTTGTTAGATCTTGGCACTTCAGGGCACTGTGCAGAATATCAGCAGCTCAGAAACGTTTTCAGTGTCAAGCTGATGGGCAGTGCTAGCATATTTGCTGCAATCCTATACATGTCAAGCCAAGGAAAGGCTTTCTCTCTACCACTGTTTCTGCCACTTTCTTTCCTAAATATTTATCAACAGTTAAGCCAGAGCAAAGAACCTCTGATAGTGAGTTGAAAGCCTTATGTTACAAAGTTAGTTCTCTGACGACCTCTATTTATATGTACATTTAACCTTCCAACTCAATAACCATTAGAAATGATGACTCCACCATTCATATATAGCGCCTACAACTCTTCTAGAGAGTTGAAATTAATGTTTTAGATGTTAACAATTCCTTGAATGCAAGTGTGCTATGAATTGTCACAAAGAAAAAACACTGATTCAAATCAAAGCTGTAGTCAGGTAGAAAGAGTCCCGGTTCTGAAGAAGGTAACCAGTCTGAAGAAGTGAGCATTTCTGTGTCTGTCACATTTAAAAAAATACTTAGCACACTTTAATATTCAAAAAGCTCATCTAACATTTAAATTCTAACAAATATCAATGAAAATGCCTTTGTTTATCATATGTAACAACCACCCCGAGTCATTTAATCTGTGTAGAAGCACTTGTAGAAGTTTCCAGAGCAGCAATTTCTGGTGGCTTATGCTTTACTTCCCCTAGGATTGGGATGGTTATCCCTGCAAGTCGGTAAATATTCTCAGGCTATGAATCAGGAGAAAACTTGCATAAGAAACTTTAAATGAAAAAAATCATCTTTAATAGAAGACTGAAATTTAACTTTCCCTTCTAAAGCAACTTATTTTGGTATTTTTACTTATTTCTTGAAACTTAAGTTACAGGATGACTAGATCAGTTTGGAATTGTATGCTGTCAAGGTCACATGCATCTCACCAATGAATTCCTATTTTTGCACATTTATGCCACAAAAAGCTATAATCTCACTTTCCTTTGAATTTAAGATATCTCTCTACAATTATGTTTTTATTTATTGCATTTAAAATAGAAAAAGAAAATTCTGTTGGGTGGAAATAACAATACTCTTTTGTGTAAATTTTACTAGTACCTTATTCTGTTAATATAGTTTGAACCTAGGGCTTTTGCCTATTTTTCTGTTGCGCTATGAACTTTATTTGTTTGGACTG